ATCTTCTTGGTAGAATGCACTTATTGTAAGTCGCTTTGGATAAAAGCGTCATCTAAATGCAATGTAATGAAATGCGGTCAAAACATGTCAGATGTGTGCAAATGTTTACATATACTATACATTTTCACATTGATTAATGTATTTATACTTTTTGGTAGTGTAAGAATTATAATACTGTTGGATCCTACATTGAGGAAGGACTTGACTGATGAAAAATTGCTTGCACAAAACATATTTCATAATGACGTTCAGAACAAAAGACACCTGTTGACAAAACATTCAATAATTTCAAGAACATGGAAAAACGGTCTCATACTTTGTCTTGTACTCATTTAAAAAATGACAAAATAAAGTCAACAGACTATTCTTTCAAACAAAACATCAACCTTGATGTAGAGGAGGCACTCACAGCAAGAAAACTGTTGAAATTGTTGGGGAAGACATTTTTAACTTATAAACAAAAATATATTTCTGAAGCAGACACATTAGAAATCAAGGGTTTTACATCAATTCATATTAGGGAAAAGATGAATAAATCTTTCTTCTTTGTCATTATTAGTATATGTCACATTCTTCCTCATATATGGTGGTATTGGATAAGGACACTTGGGTGATTGCATCACAACAACACACAGGCACAGGCAGATTCCCCAGAGTGGCAGCCTGCAGACGGGTTACAGTCTGGTTCAAGTGAATGTTCTGAAGCCAAATCAGAACAAGTAGCAACTAGCTGCATTCACACACACTCACAGACGAGCCCACGCAAGAGTATTAGCAGGGTTCACCCAGGGGAGTCTGGAGAGGAAATGATTCTACAAGCTGTTCCCAGGATAATACGTTGGGTCCCCGTGTGTGTGCATTGACACAAACACACAGGCGGTGGGAACTGTGTTCAGCAGCAGATAGAGAAACTCAACTCCCAATGGTATTAAACATTTCAAACACTTCACACAATTTTCCCTGGAGGGTATACTGAGGCCTGCTGTACCACACAGAGTGCAGATGGAACCTGTGTATTGCACAGTAAAATGGGAAATTAAGTGCAGAAGTAGCATTTTAATGGCACACTGTATTGTGCTGTGTGCAATCAGATTTTTGTGGAAAATAATGTATTGCCAATACTGTACTATTAAGCATCTTCCTCATTATGATGACTGTATGAAGTTGTATTACACAACAATTATTAATTCACCGCAGTAAGTCTGGACTCATCATTCAGAGGAACATCAGAATAGCTTTACTATGATAATTCATTTGTCGCTGGGTCCCTCACACAATGCTACATTAGGCCTCTAATGTAGAGGGGCTCCCAAAGGCTTCATTCAAATGAAAATGGTCTGAGAGGGTGTGTCAGAGTGTCTGCTCATACAGCTGTGCTAGAGTGAATATCGGAGTGTGAAGGTGAGAGATCCGTTTGTGTCTGTCAGTGACTGTGTGTATTCATGTGTGTCAATGCTTGTGTCCTGGGTATGAATAATATCAGCCCACGCAGAGGTTAGCACACATATTTGCCTACAAATGCTTTAAATGTAGCATTTTTTCTGACTGTTTTGGATGCTTGTTGAATGATGCAAGCAAAAAAATGCTTTACATCAAGCTAGCGCATCAGACTACTGAATGAGAACAGCATATCTGATGAATCTCTAGTTGAACTGAAATAAGCTCTGCAGAGGATGGTTAATAGACAACTGCTATTTCATCCATCCCAGTCTGAGCGATTGCTACGTACGAGCAGGCTACTTTCACACCTCATTTACTGAGTCTCCTAGCATGCTAGATTCAATCACACACATACACCCACGCAAAAATCGCTCGTGCACAGGTATCTGCATTCACACACACACACACACACACACACACACACACACACACACACACACACACACACACACACACACACACACACACACACACACACACACACACACACAATATAGGATGACCTACTGTTAACATTTTGACAGCATTCAAGCCAATCATTTACAGTATAATCAGTAAATGGACAGACGATTATATGGATGGACAGATTTATTTTAAAATGTTTAAAAATATAACATTTCGAGAGAGAGAAAAAAACACTAAGATGCTTTTTTACTTGCAACTACTCCAGTAAAAGTGTCCAGTGACTGCACAATGCAATCAACTAAAATGTCAGAGACAAGTGGCCCATGATAGCGATTGGGCCTTTAACTGCTCCAATCAGCAAATGGTGCTATGAGGCTGTCAGGAAGAACCGGCAGCACGTTGGAAGAAATTGTGTGTTCTGGTGTGACAGCGGGAGACAGCGCAAAAATGTTGGTCTCAGGGAGAGAGGGTGATCTTTCAGTAAGAAGTGGAGAGGTTGCTTGGCCTTTTCAGATTCAATCAAAGCCATTCAGTATGACGCTGTTATATAAGCACTGGTGTTCACCGAAGGAGGAGACAGCAGGATATCATTTGGCCTTTACTTAAGATGAAGGATAAAGCTACTTCAGAGATTCGGCCTTAATCATCATTACACCGTTCTTATTTCAGTGATTGCCACCACCACGAGAGGAATTGGAGAGAAGAGAAAAAATATGAAGTGAAAAAAGAGTAATTACAAAGAGAAAAACTAAAGTTTGAAAGGTAGGGGAAGTGATGACAGAATTACAACAGGGAAAACAAGAATATGAAGAATTACAGAAATACAATATTCTAAGGAGAAAGGGGAGTAAAAAGTATCAGAGAGGACAAAAAGATGAAGAAATGAGACCTCAGACTCAAGGAAGAGTAAAAAGGACACTTTTAAAAACATCTTGTTGAAAAGATAATATGCCAGGTTTCTTGGTTAATGATTGAGCTCACAACCATTGCCAGAATGGAAAGTTTATAAGTAGGTCTAGAAAAGAAAAAAAAGGGAAAGTGTGTGTAGAGAGGGGCAGGAAGGGGAGAAGTGGAAAGAGAAGATATGATTAAGGGTAAATGGGGGACAGGAGCAACAAAAGACAATGATAAGTAAAAGTAAAGCACCCTTATCTTCTTTATGTAGGTTAATTGACTGAGGAATTCATGCTTAAAAAGATATAATTCAATTCAATGCATGGATGTGAGGAGTGAAAAGGCCGGTAGCATATGAGATGATTCTTAGCATGCACACACACACACACACACACACACACACACACACACACACACACACACACACACACACACACACACACACACACACACACACACACACACACACACACACACACACACACACACACACACAGACACACAGACAGACAACGCTAGTGTGTCATCCTAGTATATTTCTAATTATCAGTTAATTGTTATTCCCTATCATTAGGAGGGTGGTTTTTTAATTGTAATGTAGCCAAGCAGAAACCCTACCTATACATGTGGGGGACAATTAGCCACCTCCATTAACCCCTGGTTAATTACAACCACCATCGCTGCTTCCCACAGCACTTTCCCACTTCTTTTTAGCCCTCTTCTCTACCCCCGGGCCTTCATCCCCAATTTCTGCCCTCATTTCATTTAGTTATGACTTCGAAATCTCTACAGATTGTTGGAATCAAAAGTACATCTGTTGTGAACTGGACTGGCTTCTTCTTTTTTTTTTACCTAAAAGTTTGGTTTCATTGTAGTTTTATAGGTTACCATAACCCTATATCAGCCCTCTTAGCAGTCTTTTTTTTGTCCCCTATTCTGTTCTTTCCAAACCATTTTCCTCAGATATGAGACTGTGAATCCTAACAGGGAAGATAAACAATATTACTTGATGGTTAAAAATGATTGTGAAAAATAAACCAAAGACAAAAAAGAGGAAGCTAACCCCTGACATACACATACAATTGTCGTATTCAATTTCCCTCTTTTCTTGTGATTATCCTTTTCTACTTATCTGCTTAAGTTGCCTCAAATGTACAAAGTTACAGCCATACTGCTGAGTCCGATGGCAACAATAAGTGTTTTCAGCCATGATATGTTGACAGTTGTTCAAATATTCTATGTCACTCACCACACAAGAGAGATAAGAGCTACATTTAGGTCCATTTTCATAGAGCAGACACACATATGCTGCAGATCCAGTGACCAACATTGAACCCTCTTCAACGTTAGCAAAACTCAACCCTCAGTTTAGTTCTAAATCATGGAATTGTACAGAATAACAATATAATTGTGCAGAATAACAATATGATTACAGAATTAAATGTAGGTTTCAGTAATTTATCTTGCACATTCATTTCAATTGGGCAAATGAGCTGTGGTCACTCAAACCCTCCCATGTCCCCATACCCTCCGTGTCACAGAGTTCTACTATCCTCTAGGCTCAATGTGTGTGTCAAGGCTGAACTTGGACAACTCTAAAATAATTGGGACAAAGTAAGGCAATTTTTAAATAGCGGTTTCTGTTTAGTTGTTTTCCTTTCTCTTTTCTCTGTATGTGTTGACTAAAAGCAGAGACTGGGCATGCCTTTTGTACATTTTTAGAGGAACATTGTGATCAAATCTAATAGTATGTTGTCACCCTAACAGTTCAAGAAACAATAAGTACAAGAAAAGTAATTTAAATGATGGAAAACGCATGTCTGACAGAGACAAACATACAAAGAGAGAGGGGGTCAAAAAGAGAAATGGGGAGCGAGAAGAGAAAACAATGTCCATTGTTCCATTAGGGAAGACAATAATGGCTGATAAAACGAGGTTGCTAAAGAGGACACAATGGTCCGTAATTGACTCATTAGGGAGAGAAGAGAATGAACTGCACTAATGAGTGCAGTATGAGCGCTGCAGCTAAAATGCTTGGTAAGCAAAACAGACAGGCATTACGTTTATTAAATCTAGGCAAAGCAATATTATTAGTTTGAAGAATGGGATAGTACATCAGACCAAAGGGACAAGAACAAAACAGTAACAAAAATAGCAAAACTCAGCCGTGCCTAATTATTTTTAGTTTGTATTTATCAGTGGTGATGTATTCTGTTTGATGGTACTTCTGGCTGAAATGGGTCAACATGTACTGTGCATACCTCTAGGTGTTCCAGGATATACGGTGGGTTGGTCATACCCAGCCTCAGCATGGCTCCTTCAGGGATCTCCTCCACCAGTCTCCACAGCAGTGTGGGCAGGTCTGTGCCTATGTCTCTCCCGTAGGCACCTGTGTCTTCACTGGTCAACCAGATCTCACACACTCCCTCTGGAAAGAGACAGGAAAACAAGAATTGAACATGCTTAATATCTAACTTTGTTATTTTATAGTTTTGAAAAATATATCAAATTAGCTTGATCTGTAGTATTCTGACATCTTGCGAGTCAGTTGATATGCTTTATCAGTGGTGATACAGATTGTTCATACAGTATGCTTCTCCATAAACAAACTGACCAGTATATTATCAATTGATAATGGCTCATCCAACTGTACCTGCAGATACACCTAGTGTTTTTGGAAGCAAGCAGCTGATAAGCACGCGTCATTTGTTTGGAAGAAACCAATCATTTATGTTGCCTTTGAACGTGTAATCGGTTCTAAGAACTAACTCTTGTAAATAGCCTTTTTTTACACAGCTTATTTATTGATTACCTAAATGTCTAAAAAAAGGAATTTGTATTGATAATGAGCATGGCTTTCTTCAGGTTCAAATTCCTTTTTTTAGACATTTAGGTAATCAATAAATAAGCTGTGTAAAAAAAGGCTATTTACAAGAGNCCACGGCACTATCAGAAAGTTGCTATCAGAAACAATGCCCGACTGTTTTGGACGTAATATGGTCGGTGTTTACATTAGCATCGCTAACACTCAGAGCTAACCTGTACTGGAGAGCATGTGTGTGAAGAAGCAGGAAATCAAAAGGAACTCACCTTGTGGTATAACCGGCAAGAGAGAAAGCCTTTGAGCTCCATACTGTTTCAGAAATAATCCATGATACGGCGTTTCATCACCGCAGTATTTAGTTTAGACGGTAGCTGCAGGATCCCGCATGAGCTCAGCCCCCTCCTTTTTTTTAAATCAATTTTTTTTTTTTTAAAGCTTTATACCCCAAATCAGCACTTTTGAAACAGGAAGTGAAATAGAGGGATATGAGGCATGGCTAAAATGGGTGATCTCTTTGGTATTTTGAGCAAAACACTTCATAGACATGTTTTTTATATATTTGTATATATCTGAGACCTATGCTATTGCCTAAGAATAGCATGATAGGTGACCTTTAAATTACATTTTTCCTGACACCTTCACTTCTGTTTCTTTATGATTGCAGGCAGCTTTTTCCTTCTCCATGGTGTGGAGTGTGGGTGGCAGCTGTGACTCAGACAGCAGAGAGAGGTTTAGTGAGTTCTTCAGGGTGATCGTGTCAGGAAAAGCAGAAAATCCTATCCCAGCCTCTGTGGGAAAATGGGAGTGTCCAATGGATGACAAAGGGCTGGTGTATGACTATTACTATGAGGTAATTTGTATAAACATAATTCAGAGATGTTTTGCTTTTGTTTAAATCAGTAAATCATTGTATCTCTTCAACAGTTTAAAGGAAGAGGCCGCTGGATTCACTGGAATGATAACATAAAAAATGTCAACCTGGGGGACAAAAACACCAAAGTGCAGGAGATCATTGTTCCCACCATAGATACAGTTCGCTACACCTACCTCATGGACCTCTGCATCAGATACGGAGTGTTAGTATTCTTGTGTCACTGATACATACAAGTGCCTTTTTGTTTTACTTTGACATGTACCATATAAGCTGTTTTCAAAATGGTGTGTCTAACTCACCCTGGATTTATTTAAATTGGATTTTATTTTTACACCTCTCCTCTGTTTTTTCTAGGCCTCCCCTATTTGTTGGTCCCACTGGCACTGGGAAGTCAGTGTATGTAAAAGAGAAGCTGCTGAACAACCTGGACAAAGACCAGTATCTACCCTTCTTTATAAACTTTTCAGCTCGCACTAGCGCCAACCAAACTCAGGTCAGCATTTAGGAAGCAAGGATAGAAGAATTTCTTGCAGAGTTTTTGGAATCACTTGAGAAGCATTATTAGATGTCCTCTTTTAAACAAAAAGACATGGCAAAGGTTTCATTTTATATTTCATTTAATTTAATCGTTTATTTGAAGCAGGACAGTGCACATTGATGAACACTTGTGTAAATGAACCGGATTTGAGCTTTTAGCTAATTTCCATCCGTAGTCCCGTCACATACAACATATAAGAACAGGAAATTTATATACATAGCAAAAATAAATACATGATATGCAGGAAGAGCCTGAGCAGCATACAAGCATTTACCACATGGCAGTACAATGTAGCAGCTATGATATATAAAGTGCAAGATAAGATAAAAGTGATAATTAATTTTAAAAAAAAGTTTATATTTGACTCTTTATTTGTTGCATATACTAGAGTATCATCATGTCCAGATTGGATAAGAGAAGGAAGGGAGTGTTCGGGCCCCCCATGGGAAAGAAGTGTATCATCTTTGTGGATGACATGAACATGCCTGCACTGGAACAGTTTGGAGCGCAGCCACCTGTGGAGCTTTTTCGGCAGTATATGGACCATGGAAACTGGTATGACACCATCCATTATTAGATACCACTCTCATATCAAAAGGAAAACAGGAATAACTGATGCATTAAGATGAGTCACTCACTCATCACTTACCTCAGCCACAACGTAGTCTCAATATGCATTACATTAATGCACACAATGTTCATACTGCTTACTGCACATATTTCTTGTTTCATATTTCATATTTTATATCCTATAATTCATTCATAGCATTCTATTTCCATGTAAATTACTGCTTTATTTTATTGCTATTTAATTATTTTATTACGGTGTCCTTAAAGATTTTTTGTTATAGATTTCTTGTTTTATATTTGATGTATGCANTGCAGAGACAGACAGAAAGATGCATGTGGTCATTCAGAGAGTAAAGATGGTGTTTGGCTAATTGGACCGTTTGTGTGTGTGTGTGGACCGTTTGTGTGTGTGAGAGAGAGAGAGAGAGAGAGAGAGAGAGAGAGAGAGAGAGAGAGAGAGAGAGAGAAAGAGAGAGAGAGAGAGAAAAAACTGTGTTTTAAAGACATGCATAGGCTAGATAGATTAAAGATGATGACAGTATAATTGTCCGGAGTGAAAGAGTTTCCGAAGCTCATCGTCATTGACATTAAGATGCACTAATGGTTTCTGGAGTCAGAAACATCAATCAATCACACGTGATCAGATCTAAAGGCTTACACACACGAATGCACTCAGTCACCCACACTCTATACAAGAATGCATTCAGGAAGTGATATTCATTTGCTTCAGTATGCAGTTAATGGAATCATATTTCACCTTCTTCAGATACTCAGTAATAGCTTTGTTCATTAAATGGTCTTTAGCATTTATTAACTCAATGTATTTTACTTTAAATGTAGGCTCTGTTTTAGCAATGTCACACTTAACAGACACAGATACCCATCAAGTGTTCACCCCTTGAGATCTTCACTGGAGGTAAAGCTTTATGCAGAGACGTGTTATCTTCAGCCACCATTGAGTCATAATGACTGAGTGTCTTTGTTTAGCAACATACCATGTTTGATTTGCTACCTTGTCACACATCTTTTGTATCTTTTTAGCCTGAAGGAGGGTGGTGATGGTCAATTCCCAGGTCAGCTAATGTCAGCTTGCCAATTCATCTGCCAGTGTCTAACCCCGCATGCATCATCTGCATCCCAGGAGTGAGAATATTCCTACACCCACTGTACCAACAGCATCACTTCCTACGTAACAGTTCTGTCCCAGAATAATGTTGGCAAAGTGCTCTCCTAATACAGGGCCAGACCTGCAATAAATTGGCATAGGAGCTGAATTGGTTCCTTTCAAAACAACATTCCTGTGATTCCAAACACATATTGCTGCCAAGTGAGCAAGCTTGTGTACTGCCTGCAAGGAAATGCATCTTGTGATCCCTGTGCTAATTGTGTTTTGAACAGGGTGATGCTTTGGAAAATGGTCTGGTGTTTAGTCAAGGCCACATATATATACCTATATGTCCAGATAAACTCAATAACATGCCCAGTTATTCCCCCCCTGTGGCCTGCTTCTCTGTCCCTTTTGTATTAGGTGTGCCAATGGAGTTATTGTTGGCCACAGAAAGAGAAAAGGTGGCCGTTTCATCAGGAAATGTTAGCGTGCTCTCCCTTCACTATCTGCTCTGATACACACTACACAGCTGCTTCCTCTGGTTTTGGTATGTGTGCAGTGGAGAGAGGGGTCACATGGTGCAGGGTGAAATGCGTCTGTGCATCAGTCATGGCAAGATTACTACAAACAAATTATTCACAACAGGAGAAATGTTTAAACCTAAACATTTCCATTTGATATTGTACTTTAAATGTGCAATGATTGTCAAAATGTATGCGTTAAAATAGTAGAAAGCATAATGTCAAGACAACAATTTCAATGTGGGTATCGTTTTAATTCAAGGTGCTCTAGTAAAAAGGGAGTATGTGCTCTGCAGGAGTATCCTTAAGCAATCAGGATACTGAGCGTATCTGTTTAGTCGCTGTTCTGTAGCTTACCCTGACCTCTGGCTGATGTCAAAAGGAGACCATTTAAGAACATATCAGTAGTATATGACTATTGCAGTAATACTCTTACAAACTGATAATTACAAGTTGTATCCCTTGATATAACAGCAAGTTTCGGCAACCCTTCACCTCACCATTTTTCCATGTCACGTTATGATGAATGTTCATGTTGGAGCAGTTGTAAACAAGGGAGGAGAGCAGGGCACTTTCCCTAAAAGCTAATAACATTCAGTGAACTCTGACACAGCAGCACCAACACGGTCCCAGGAGGAGGGAATAAACGGCAGATGGAAAGAGGGCAGGACAGGAAGACATTAAAGATGAATTTAAGCTTCTCTTCAGGTCTGAGCTTTCAGGGTTGGGGCTATAGATAGGTAGGGGGGAGATAGACAGAGAGAGAGAACAGGCACAGCTAGGTGTGTGTAGAAGCCGCATTTTTTTTCTTTGTCCAAGAATAACACCATCAGCATGTCTGACAAAAGTCACACACATATCAAATAATCATTACTCCAAGTATCTGCCACATACTTGTTTGTTGTGTGGTTAAATGTGTGTGTGTGTGTGTGTGTGTGTGTGTGTGTGTGTGTGTGTGTGTGTGTGTGTGTGTGTGTGTGTGTGTGTGTGTGTGTGTGTCCGTGCATGCATTATGCATGCACGGACACACACACACACACACACACACACACACACACACACACACACACACACACACACACACACACACACACACACACACACACACATTNAATAGGGAATATAAACAGCATGAATATGAATGAATGTGTTCCTGTGTCTGCAGTGCATCCACAGAGACGTGAAGCCGGAGAACATCCTGATCACCAAACAGCAGGTCATCAAACTCTGCGACTTCGGATTCGCCCGGATACTCAGTGAGTATGTACTAAATACACAAGGGTAATCACAAGACAAGACACAGCTGGGCAGGGAAGGCAGAAACACAAGGGCAACAGGCCCAGTTCCAAACTGCCCCCTACACCCTACCCCTCCGTTTGCCGCTGTATTTACTCCCTCCATCTGACAGGAGGGAGCCTCGTTGAGCTGTGAGTGGGAGTGGGTAGGGTGTGGTTTGGAATTGGGCCAATGAGACAATCAGACAGGAAGGAAAACACAGACAGGAAGCAACTGCAGACATTAGAAAGGGGGTGAACACCTTTCAAAGTAAAACGTGAAAACAAAGACAGATCTTGACAGTTATATATATCCTCTGTGTCCCCCAGCGGGCCCCTGTGATTACTACACGGACTACGTGGCGACGCGCTGGTATCGGGCCCCCGAGCTGCTGGTGGGCGACACGCAGTACGGCGCCCCGGTGGACGTGTGGGCGGTGGGCTGTGTGTTCGCTGAGCTGCTGTCGGGGGTCCCACTGTGGCCCGGAAAGTCTGACATGGACCAGCTGTACCTGATCCGCAGAACCCTCGGTAAATATTATTTTATATTAAAGGTCACCAATCATGCAAAATGCACTTTTTTATGTCTTTTATACATAAATAATATGTGTCCCCGGTGTGTCAGGGAACTCACGCAGCGCCAGAAAATAAAACCCCCTCTCTTTTCCTCCGTACCCAATCTCTAAAAACGGGGGTACAAGGGAGCTGATCCAGATTTGCGTCCGATATGACGTAATATCTGAAATGTGGACCCACGGCACTATCAGAAAGTTGCTATCAGAAACAATGCCCGACTGTTTTGGACGTAATATGGTCGGTGTTTACATTAGCATCGCTAACACTCAGAGCTAACCTGTACTGCACAGAGCATGTGTGTGAAGAAGCAGGAAATCAAAAGGAACTCACCTTGTGGTATAACCGGCAAGAGAGAAAGCCTTTGAGCTCCATACTGTTTCAGAAATAATCCATGATATGGCGTTTCATCACCGCA